CTCTCCAGAGGAGGGAGTCATGTGAGAGCTGGTGTTGTTACCACCCGCCCCAGCTGCTCCGTGACCCAGGCGAGATCCCAGTTAACCCACTGATGCCCCGTAACAAGCCAGGCACATTGTTGCTCCTTTCTTGCCCGGGCTCTGGTGTAGACCCCTCCTGTGTTGACTCGCTCGTTCACAGATTCATCCATTCACTCACCAGGCAAGTTTCCGGGAGTTGCTCATTGACCGCGATCTTGCCCTGGGTTCATAGAGGCCTGGCTGGCTTGCTCTGGGACTCGGACGGCAGAGTTCTTGTCCTTTCTCCCCTCGTTCTCGGGTCGCCGGCCATCCTCGCGGCTGTGGCCCGGCACAGCAGGCAGTTCACATCGTGGTCTTTGGTTACAGTTAACCCAAACAGTGGGTTGGTGTTGATGCCGCATGTCATCCACGAGGCGCCACCATTCTGCCCTGCTCCCTCTGAATTCTGTGGCTAGTGTCTGTCTCTGTCCATGTAGACCCGCAGGCCCATTCACCTCAGCATTCCCTTTCTCACCCCTGCATCATTCTCCAGTTTGTCTCCTGACCTCAGGAAGATTCCTCCCGCCTATCCATCCTGCTCCATGCTCCGCTACACTGTGTCCTCTCCCCTGCTCCCCCCGCTGCCCTCCCTCCAGGCCCCCACCATCTCCCAATGTGACTATTTGCTCCCTGCCCCAGGTGGGCCTTTGCAGGCCAGCAATCACTGACAGTGGCCGGCCTGCCTACCTTCCGTGCTGCTCCCACTTCCCGCACGCATGCCTCTGTGACCTTTGCCGAGAAAAGAGCCGCGCACTTGTGAGCGCGTGTGTCAGGTCCTAGGTCCTGCCCAAAGGGAGCATACATTCTGGGAGATGGACGAGAGCAAGGGGCCAGCTTCCTGACAGACAGGCTGCTGTGCTGCTGTCCTTCTGAGCAGGGTTGTCATGGGGGGCAGGGGCCAGGCAGGCTGCTGGTAACTTCAGCTTTCTCCATGTGGAAATCTGGGCCCCAGAGAAAAGGCTGGGGGGATCTGAGTGGCATACAAAATTGCTTGTTCCATTTTCTTGCCCTTGGTGTGAGCAAGTCTAAAGGGAGTTGAGCATTTAATATCTTGCAGTATTTGTTTCTTTCCATTCACTCATAATTTTGCTAATTTTAAGCACATTAATAACTAGCAGCTGCGCTTCAAAGCAGCCCTTTATGTAATTTGAAAGGGAAAACAAGTACTAAATATACTCTGCTTTCCCTGCTGGCATAATTGACAAAAGTTTTTAACTCCTTGTAAACAGGTATTTCGGGAGCCGCTTTGCTGACTTTTTCAGCCAAGAATGTGGCACATTTGCGGGGTTTTTTTTAACGTGACAGTCACATTCCGCAGACATGCATCCTGCCCCCACCCCCGCCGAGGAAGTTTGCATCTCAGGTGCCAACAAGCTGCTGACCTGTCAGCCTTCCCTTTTTGCCCTTGGCCTCCTCTTACTTGAGCCCGCATTGTGCCCTCGGCTCAGCGGAGATGAGTTATTAGGATGTCATGTGTTAGGATGGTTTGATACCTGTATTCAACAAACTGTCACCCAGAAGAGGCTTGGGATTTTAGACCACTGTCCTCCAGGCATGGTTCAGAGAGTTGCCAGCATGGTGGCTGTGTGTCCTTTGGCGGAGAATGCCCACACAGCCCTCCCACCACCTGCCTGGGTCAGCGCCATGTGGGGGACATGCCAGTCGCTCTCCTATTGCCTGACTGGATTTCCACAGCCACCCTGGGCACAGGCAGACTGCAGGCACCTCTGACCAATAAATAGCCTGAGTTCCCAGCAGGAGGGAGGATGGGTGAGATCCCAGCCCCACAGCCCGGTGGGCTGGAAGGGCCAGCTGCCTCCTGGTAGAAATCAGGCCCACCATCCTCTTGAGCAGGCATGAACACATGTCCATCCCAGCACCCTGCTCCCTGCTGCCCAAGGCCTCTCTCCCACTCAGAGTCCCCGGACACAGAAAGGAGAAGGGGGAAGGGGCCCAGGCGCTGCTCCGGCAGCAGACAGGCAGCTGGGCGATGGTAACCTTCATCCCTTGTGCTGTTGGCAGTGAGTGGGAGGAAGCCAGATCCTCATTCAGGTCAGGGCGAGCATGGCCCCCACTGGCTTGCTACTCTGGAAAATGTCCCCGGGGACCAGGTGGTTTATATCCTTCCGTATGCCACCCAGGAGCCTTGGTGGCACTGTAGGGTAAGTGTGGCCTGCGTCGCGCCACTCTGCAGGAGGAAGGGAGCAGCTCTGCTCTGCCCTATTGGGGCTGGGTTTTGTGGGTGTGTTTGTCTCTGAGCTAGCCTGAAGCGGAGTACGTCCCTGACACCTGTCCTTGCCTGTAGGGGAATTCTCGGCCTCCGACAGCTCCCTCACTGACATGCAGGAGACCCGACGGCAGCCCATGCCCGACCCCGGCCTGATGCCCTTGCCCGATGCAGCTGCAGATCTGGACTGGTCCAACTTGGTGGATGCAGCCAAAGCCTATGAGGGTGAGTCCCCTGGGAAGTCAGACGGGGAGCGGAGGAGCCGGTGCCATGGGCTGCTGGTCAGCGCTCTCTTGGAAACACTGGAAGTGGCTGTCTAACCCGCTGCCATTTTAGAGGGAACTCTACAGGACCGCCAAAGTCAAGCAGCCCAGAGCAGTCCAGGACTGTCCTAGTCACCCAGTGCACCCTGACAGAGTGCCACGCGTGGGGTGGCTTTCACGGTGGTGAGAGGGTGGGTGTTAGGTTTTCGGTTCTGGAGGGTAGGAATCTGAGTTCAGGGTGCTGGCGCTTGGGGAAGGCTTTCTCCCAAGGGAAGTCCTAGCTCTTCCGCTTCTGCTTCCTGGTTCGCGGGTGAAGGTCTGGCCCCGTCTTTCTTCCACACCCGTGTGTCCTCTCGTGTACGCTGCAGAAGAGACGTGCCCTGCGTGAGCCCCGCCTCGGCAGCACGATAGACAGCGGCCCATTCCCAGATGGAGTGATAAGCAGAGATAGACAGGTTAAGGTTTATGGCACACATTTTGGGGGAAACATCACACAGCCCATAACATTCCGCCTGTGGCCTCCCCACATTCATGCCCTGGACACACACAAAAAACATTCACACTCTGATCACATTGTCCCCCAACGTCTTAAATCAACACCAAGGCCAAAATCGTCCCTTCTGAGCCATCTAAAATTAAATCTGGGTGAGACTTCAGGTATGTATCTTCCGGGGGTAAAATTCCTCTTCATCGGAGAGCCTGTGATTTCTAGACTAGATATTATTTATTTCCAAAGTCCAAGGTTTTCGGTGAGGGAAACCAGAGGAAGGGGGTTGGCCGGCGCCAAACTCACTGCGCGTCCATACCGACGAGAACTGCCCCTTTGGATGTTCAAGACTATCAACTTTTTAAAAATCATTTTATTGGGGGCTCGTACAACTCTTATCACAATCCATCCATCCATCCATTTTTGTCAAGTACCTTTGTACATTTGTTGCCATAATTTCTCAAAAGATGTGCTTTCTACTTGAGCCCTTGGTATAAGCTCCTCATTTTTCCCCCTCCATCCTCATCCGCTCCTCATGGCTATCACCTTTCACAGGAGTAGAAAGCCTCATCTCTTGTGGAGCAGCTGATGGTTTTGAACTGCTGAACTTGCAGTTAGCAGCCCAATACAACTCCTCACTATACCACCAAACAAGCGAGTCTAAAACCTAGCAGAACACATTGCATTCACTTTCCAGACTTGAAACTAATCTCGTCTCAGAGACCATCTGGACCTTAACTCTGACCTCCAGGCTGGGTGTTGGCCAGGCCTTCTGGATTTTGGGTGGAAGCCGTAAGCCCTGGATTTCAACTGCACCCCCCCAGGACCTCGGAGATTCGGTGGCTTTGTTCTCTCAGTTCATCTGAGTGGTGCCTCTGCTCCCTGGAGGCTCCTCAGCAAGCCCCATACTTCTTCATGACAGCCTCACCCCCCAGCTTTGGGTGGCAGCCCATCCCCAGCGCACCTGAATGCAGCCCAACACTCCAGAACCGAGTCGGTGAAGATCCACTCTTTGAGACCTAAGGCCGTGGCCGCATCCTTTGAGTTCTTCAAGACCATGACCATACCGAGAAGGCCCTGTGTCCTGTGCTGCCTCCAACGGTTCTGCTGGTCTCCAGGCTGCTCCAGGGCTGGTCATTTCTTTTCTTGAAGGGCAACAGTGTAACGACGGTAGCTTGGTTCCTGCCTCTCGAAGGTCTAGAGTTCTTTCCTTGGTTCTTTCTCTGTCCCCTTCAGCCCAAGATGAGGCTCTTGCTGGGTTAATTGGCTAGATCCTTCTGTCGCAGGCGCTCTCTCTTCAACAGAGGCTGTGCGGTCACATCACTGGTGGGCATTCTGAGACTTAAGTCCTTAATTTGTAAATCAAAATCGTGAGGAGATGCCACACAGCTCAGCTTGCTTAGCTGAGTCATTAGCCAGATACCAAAGTTTACCACGTACAAGGTCTTCTTTCCGCCAACATTTGAACGTAATTCAAGGAAATTCTTTGCCACTGCTTAGAAAACATTGCCCTTCCTCCATTGTCCAATTACATGTTCATCCTTCTTTTTTTTAAAGCCTCCCAAGAAGCAAATTCAAAGTCCATGTTTCTAGCAACCTGCTGTTGAAGATACACAAATATCTATCTATCCCCTTAGCTCTCTCTGTTTTGCACTTTCACCAGAATTGCCTTTGAGATCCATAATTCTACTAACAAGCCCTTCAAGGAAATCTAAGATTTTACATTCAAATACCCTCAAACTCTCCCGTCTCCACTCATCACCCAGTTCCAAAAATGCTTCCATGTTTTAAGTAGCCATTTACATAGCTCAACAGCCCACTCTTCCAGCACGAAGTCTGTCCTTGTTATCTCGGGAAACCACACGCGGCTCGCTTCAGCAAGCACCTGCATTGTCTCCCAGTCCAGGAGACTCGTGTTCGGGGTGCTGGCTCGAGGCGAAGGCTTTGCCCCTTTGTTGGCTCCTACGGGAGATCCTCATCTCCTGAGCTTCTGATTCTTGGTTCCTTAGAGAACTTTACCCCCATTTGATGGTTTGTTTAATCTCTTATAGATCAAAAAAGAGGTAGAATCAAAACACCGAATAATCTTGCCTTATTAACATAGCAGCATCCACAGGCATAGATTGTGGTGTTTATGACACATTTGACAGGGGAGTGGGGGTGGCATCATTCAATCCACTATGACCAAACCCTGTTGCCCCCTCACAGGTTATCAGCTGGTGGCAGTGCCCTGCACCAACTGGATAATTATTATTATCAATCTGCTGGTCACTGTCCTTCAGACAAAATGATAGAAGTTTTGCTCTTTTTATGAGAGATTTTAAAATTTGATTTTGTTTCCCCAGCTCGGGTTTCAAACTGGTTCATTTTGAAACACAGGTGGTTAGCTTCGGTTAACTTTAGACAAGCTTAGGTTAAAGCCCACCACAGTGGTCAGGCCTCTTAAGAAAACCTGCTTCCAAAGACAGCAAGAAGCTAATACTAAGTCTTTCATTGCTTTTACATTATCACTTAAGTGGAAAGCCTTGGTCTATTAATTTGGTGCAAGGCCTGTTCCCAGGGAAACGTTTGGAGCCGGGGTGGGGGTGGGGGTGGAGAAGGACTAGGAATTGCTTCTTAACAATTCGTTCTCAAAGGGAAGTTGCGGTACAAGCACTGGCTTACGGCTAAAAGAAGAGTGTTTTCCTAGTGGGGTGGGAGCCCAAGCTTCCATCGTCTCTGTGCACTGATGGGGATTGGGCTGTCCCTGTAGGCCACTCACTGACTTTGATGTACAGTGCCTAGAGATACGGCGCTAAAGTACTGAATTGTTTCTTGTGTCCTCCGCAGTCCAGAGAGCCTCGTTCTTTGCTGCTAATGATGAAAACCACCGGCCCCTGAGTGCTGCGTCCAACAGTGATCAGCTTGAGGACCAGACTCTGGCCCAGATGAAGTCTTACAGCAGGTTGGTCACCCAGTGGCGAGGGTCAGCGCCCTGCGGCACGCGCCAAACCCACTAGTGACGGCAGATGTGGGGGAAGAGGAGATGGAGACCGCGTGGATTAGCTGCACGAAGCCCATCCTTCACATTTTAGTGTAACACAATGCTGTAAACGCAATTAAACGCTTCTTGATGACCTAAGGCCATAATGATGAATATTCATTATTATGTAGTGCTCTGATACGTGTCTGCCCAAGAGGCCTGGTAGGTGTGAGAAATCATTTGCACGCAAGCTCCCCAGGCGCCCGGGCTTGTCAAGTCTGCTTTTCCAGCTCTCCCCCTGCTGTCCCTTGGTGTTCGTGCCTGCACGCGTGCCTGCGCCCAAGCAGCTCTTCATGTGCCGGGAGCCAGTGGGGTTGGGTTGCCAGGATGGTGGAGAACCTGCGTCCAATGCAAGCCAATCCGCAATAGCTAAGGCCCAAAGGGTGTCTTAGGAGCTAGGAGCATGGTCTCCGTTGGACTGTACAGAGGCTGAGAGCTGGGTGCATCTGCATGTGCTGCTACTGTCTAGAAATGCGGGCACTCATGGATGCAGAATGTTACCATTTTGTCACTGTAAATGTTCGCTTCCTAAACGCCTTGGAAGATGGTTAAGCATCTCAACACCTGTGAAACGTGGCACGACTCCGGCAGCCACAGGAAGAATCAGTTATGTATTGTCCGCACACCCCACGGGACTCTTGCTCAAGGGGAGGGCTTCTCTGAGCAAGCTGGGGCCCTGGCTCTCATCACCCGTCACTGGGATAGCTGAGGTGCAGAGAGCAGCAGTGAGCTGGGCTGTGAAAATACTGGCAGTCTCCAGAGAGCCCAGAGTGTGTGTGTGTGTCTGTGCGCGTGTGCCTTTTTAGAAAAGGGCCTCCCAAGGAGAAGATTGAGTTGGCAAAGACTCTTCTCCGGAGAAAGGGTTATTGACAGTTCTTAAAAATCTTTGTGGAATCATAAGATGACAGGGGTGAGCTGCTCTTTAATTTGTTCCGTTCAGACAGAACAAATGCAAATGGATTTAACGCTCTACATTTTAATCATGCGTGCACAGAGAACTCACTTTGAAGAAGCCTGAGAAGTCAAGGGTTGCCTCAGTCCCAACAACCTGACATTGCTTTGATTTGGAAGGAAGGCCACCTCCCCACCTTGTTTCTGTTGTTCCTGGTCCACAGTCCAACACAAGTCCTCTTCGGCCACCTCTTTCCTCTCCAACCCACCCAAGATCTGACCAACTCACAGTGTGTAGGGTAACCGTCATTCATAGGAGGCTGAAAATGGTAACTGGCCACTTCCCTTTTAAAGTCCCTTCCTTGTCAGCTTTTAACTGGCGGGTCTCTCTCACTCATTTGGAAGTCTGCATTCCATTCATGTGCCTTCTGGGTACCTACCTTCCCCGCCAGTGTGGGCTTTGCCTTTGGGGCGCCTTGTCGATGCAAAGTTAGAAAAAGACATCCACCCAGTTCACGTAAGGTGAGCGATTCTAACGTCAGCTTTGATTTGTGTGGGAATAAGGTAAATATATGTATCCTAGAAAACAGTTGTGACTTTAACATACTTCACGTATGTAACGGTGATATGGAGCTTTGATTTTGAAAGTGAAGACTATCTTTTATTCCAGGGTTCAAAACATCCTAAGCGTCCACTCTCTCTTCTCCATTGACCTCTGCAAACAGCTAGCTGCCTGTGACCCAGTGGAAGGCTTTGGATTCCCTGTTGTATGTCTGAGGCTGGGTGACGGCGGCGGGGGCAGCTTGAATGCAAGTGAGCAGTGTGGGGAGCAAAGTGACAAGGTTCCGTCGCCTTGGGGCCAGTGCTTGCCCCCTGTGTCACCAGTCTGACTCATTGGGGAGCCTTCTCATCTCTCGCTCACCCTTCTTTTGGTACCCCACCAGCAGGACGTCCTTCGTCCCTAAATCAAATGTACAAAAGGAACAGAAAACTGGGGTCTTGTATGTTGCTATTAATAGGAGTCTAAGACTAAGCTTGGCCCCCTTTGAAACATTCAGTCTCATTTTTGAACATATGTTAAGATACTGGTTTTTAAGGTGTGAGCATCATAACCTTGCTGCAACTAGACCAGTGGCCCTTGACCAGAGACCTTCCTATCCCTGTAGCCCCCTGGCAAGTCTTGCATCAACCACTACCCCCTCCTCCCAGGCACATGCCCAGAAGTCTGACTCTCCTTTTAAAGCTCAAAGAGAACCCAAGAGGCCCCGCGGAACCTTGTTCTTGGTTGACAATTGCCTCTGCCACAAAGCACCTCTTGTGTGGGCCAAACAGGCCATTGATCTTCTTGTCCTTGACTCTTACCGTGAAGACATAGCATCTTTCCCATTGGCTGTGGTTCAGGTGTGTCTTTACCTTTGGTGAAGATTGCCATTCTGCCTTTGCAGGTAAAACCGGCACATGGGGTCCCGTACTGTGGACTTTGACGTTGAAAATCATGTGTCTCTTGCAAATATCCCCTCTTCAAACAGAACCAGCCATGGAGGCTCCGGCCAACATGGTTTTTTGTTTCTTGTCCTCAGCAGTAAAGATTCCTCTCCCACTCTGGCTTCTAAAGTGGACCAACTGGAAGGTATGCTGAAGCTGCTCCGGGAAGATCTCAAGAAGGTAAGCACTTACTCCCAAGGCTGGTTGGGTAGCAAATTGACCTGGCCGTGCCGACTGCCCTTGACCTGTGGGAGCCTTGTTAGGTAGCAATGGTGCCTTAAGATGTGGTTTTCCTCTTTCCACGCTGCAGCTCAGGACACGGTGCCCACCGGTGCCTATGGTCCGAGGAGGAAGGTTCATGTGTACAGGAAAAGGGTTCCCTTTCTTGTGAAAGAGGCCTCTCCAGCCTCTTCCCTCCTTGTCCAACCAACTACCAGACTCACACTATTGTGCAGGGTTCTGCACCAAATGAATGGAATGTTTGTGAGGTTTGGGTGGCAGTGGGTTAGACAACAGTCTAAAATTCGAGTAGCCCTTACTACTACATTAAAGCAAACTTAGTACGCCATTGGTACATTAAAACAGACCTGAACACCTTCACATTCCGAGACAGACCTGTAGTGAAGCGCTGTTCCCTGGAGTTAGAATTCCGTGGCACCCAGGACCAAGCCCCCATATGCAGGAGTTTGGTAAAAAGGTAGAAACAGCCCTCAGTGGCATCTACCAGTAGGGCAAAGCTTGTGTGTCCTTACCTTGCTACCTGGCTCTGCCCCCGTAGGGGATGGTGAGTTCGAAAGGAACCTTTGGTTCTGTAGCGTGGGCTTGTGCTTCCCTTTGGTTACTGGGCACTGGGACAGTGGCCACACTCCCCCGTCCTTGTGTGCTTTGTCCTGCCGCCCAGGAAAAAGAAGACAAAGCCCACCTTCAGGCCGAAGTTCAGCACTTGCGTGAGGACAACCTGAGGCTGCAAGAGGAGTCCCAGAATGCCTCCGACAAGCTGAAGAAGTTCACGGAATGGGTCTTCAATACGATAGACATGAGCTAGAGGCGGCAGAGGAGGGGGCTGTAGGGAGTGCTCACCCTCACCCGGGCTTGGCAGCCCCCTGGTTCTGGTCACTGAACGCTTTCTCAGAGCACCTCCTCCACCAGGGGAGGGGAGGGTGCACAACCCAATTGCAGATGAACAATCATTATCTGCCTTTTGTAGAAAAGAAAAAAGTAAATAAAAATTTTAAAAGTAAAATAAAAGTTTAACTGCTAAAATGTGAATGTCTTTTATTTTTTTGCACAATATCTCTATCTGTTATGTATTTAAAAAGAAATTGGACTTTGGGGCCAGGGGCCCCCCACCCCCACCCCAGCCTGCCTCTGTTTCCAACAGCTCTTATCTATTTCAGGTCACCCAAGCTCCCCACGTTCTCTTGACACACACGATCATTGTGCCTAGGAAAATCGAGGTGGTTTTGTTTTGTACTGTATTTAAATCATTTATTGGGGCAGTGGGGAGGGTCCCTTTCCTTACCTTCTTTCTTCAAATGCCTGGAGGAGGCACTTGTAGAAAACTCCAGGCCTCCCTTGAATGACTTGTGCATGAGCTAATGCTGCTAGTCCCTGTCAACCGGGCGGGTCATTTAATGTCACCAGTCAGTAACCCAGAGAGAGACTGGGCGGAGGGCCACACCCCCTTTCCCATCTTGCCATGCAGTGTAAGGCGGCACCTGCCACCTTTCCTCGAGGGACAGAGTCCCCGGTGTGGTTTGGGTCTGGTGTCGTGAGCCCCACTCGGTTGGAATCCACCTCTGGACAAGCTGCCTGCCTCCCAATGCAAGTGTGGTTCCAGAAGTCCCCAAATGCAACCTTATTCTGCGCGCTGCTTGTCCCTGTTGTATGCATTTTGGTCAAAAGTAAGTTTATTTGCCATTTTTAAAATAAAAAGTATAATTTTTAAGCCAGCGGCAATGATGGCATACGCATGCTCACAACGCTTAGGTGACTAAATTGTTAACTCTTTCTTCACAAAGCAATACTTTGCAGGAAAAGCTAAACATGAATGTTAAACTCTGAAGTTTAGTGCTTGCGTGGTAAGAGCAGCGGCTGTGAGCACCAAAGGGGCCTGGGCCCGGGTAATTGTGAGCACGGTGTCTTTCCTGCGCCCTGTGGGGCCGGCCGAAGGTCGGCTGCAGTAATGACTTTGTGGTCGAGTGAGGCAGGCAGCTTTGGGCTTCCAGGGCGGTGGTCCAGGTCCCTCACCAAGCAGAGCACAGAGACTTGGCCGACCAGTTGAGACTGGCCTGAGGGGAGCCCTTGGTGGTCTCGGGGCCCACCTTCAGAACTGTCCCTAGACTGCTGGGGTATCTGCTCAGATCCCACAAGTCATCTCGCCCCTCTCCCCATCACCGAGAGGAACCAGATGCATTCTCCCCTCTCCTCCCCTCCGCCTTCACCCCCTGATTTTTATGCTCTGTAAGATTTCATTTGTGGTGTAATTTGTCCATGGCTTTTTTCTTTCTCTCTTAATGATAACGTTTCTACCATGGAAACAGGAAGATTTCAGGATGCTCTGTCAGGCTTCCCGTGGCCTCTCTGTCTCTCTGACTTCTGGGGAGGAGCTTGCGCATTGCCCTGGCTGCTCTCTGTAAATGAGAAATAAATACCGCGATCATCCACGCATTCTGAAGTCTCCTTGCTTCTCCCGGGTTTCTGTTATTACGTGGTTTCCATTTTGTTTTGTTTGGGACTTGGGGGCAAGATATGTATTAGAGTTTTGCAGCAGAGTTCTTGTTTGAAGCCTCTAAAGACTACTTGTAAAATTCAAACAATAAAATTCATTTTAAACACTTTTGAAACGCTTTGGTGTTCTTGCACGCGGTTTTCTTCTGGGAAAGACCACCCAGGAACGTACGTCCTGTATTTCACCCAAGTTCCTTTGAACATTGACACTGGCTTTTGCAAGCTCCGGTCCCTTTGAGAAGAGTCACGAGCTATTTGACAATCTGTCCACATGGCCTATGTGGCCTTCTTCGCAAAGGATTTCCTATCTGCTGAGCACTTTATAATTAGTTTTCTCTCTATCCACGAGTGGGTTTTCCGTAATAACCTTGCCATTCTCTGAGCCAGCACATCTGAGAATGTCGACGGCGTCCCCCAATGTGAGATGCCGGGTACTCAGGAAATGCTAATGCCTGCTGGGATTGGGCGAGGCAAAATAGAATTAGATCAATCTACTGAAAAATCCTCATGCATTTCAAGGGCAAACAACCAATTTTGATTTTTCTTCAGTCCACCACGCCAGGGTTCGTCTCAGTGGTGCAGCTAATTGCGAGCCGGCCGAGAGAGGTGCTTCCATCAGTGACGTTCCCCAGAGCCACACATCCTGGAAGCGCACAGCAGCGGGAGACTGGACACCACAAGGTGCTCTGAGGAGGCGCAGAAAGACCAGGGCTTCCACGTGGCGAGGAGGGTTTGCGCCTGATCTAGGGAGCATTGGGAATTCTAGGGGAAGGCGCTACTGGCCCGCACTAACAGATCTTGATCCAGCAGCTCGGGAAGACCGATGGTTAGCTGCTGTCTAGCCCATGTGCCAGAGTAGAATCCTTTGCTGTAATCTCCACCAGAGCATATTACCAGGTCTGCTTCCCGAGCAGCTGGCTGGCTGGATTCAAATCTTTCAGCTAGCAACCTGCAATTAACCATTTGCATCACCAGATCTTAATAGAGGGGCCAATCCGAATCTGCATTTTTAACGAGATCCCCAGGTGGTTCTGTATCCTAGAGGGTGGAACTGGGCCCCGTAGATGCAAGTTAAAGGGGCCAGATTTTGCCGGGGGAGACTAGGTGCGTGCAAGAATGGAGAGCTAGTCCAGGAGCCATGTGACCAAGAATCACTCATCCTAGGCAGGCGTGAGATTCATCCGGAGAGCTTGTTAAACTCACACCTCGTACAGAGAGAGAGCGCTTCTGCTAGGCACAGCCTGCCTTTATCCACTGAAAGCACATTATGTTTTCTCGACTGTGAAAATCTACACGTGAACGCAATCGCCCAGGAAAGAGGAACAGATCCATATTTGTAAAATGTTGATTCTGATCCGGTGTACTTAGTGCCGAAAAGCCAATGCTCGCCAGAGAGTTGAACTGGGAGGAACTGGCTCAAAGCCCTGCTCTAAAAGTGGGCTGTCTTTGACGTCTTTTAGGAGCCCTGGTGGTGTGGCTATACATTGGGCTGAGAACCGCAAGGTCAGCAGTTCAAAACCACCAGCTGCTCCTCGGGAGAAAGATGAGGCTTTCTGTTCCCGTAAAGAGGATCACTTTGAGAAACCCACAGGGGCAGATTTACTCTGCCCCATGGGTTCCTGTGAGTTGGCATAGTTACCACAGTGGTGTGGCAGTCTGCTCCTGTAAAGATTCGCCACCTTGGGGAACCCTCAGGGTGGGTTCCATGAGGTTGCTCATGATACCCTGACAAGATCCAAGCTTCTCAACAAGGTTGGGCTGAAGACATGTCTCAAACCGTGGGCTGTGAGCTGCTTGCTGTAAATCCCCAGGCTCCTGTCAGAGCTTCGAGAGCAGGGTTCTCAACCAGTGGGTTGCGACCCCTTTGGGGTCGAACAACCCTTTCATAGGGGTCGCCTAAGACCATCGGAAAACACAGATATTTTACAATATATAATTACATGTTTTGTGATTGTGTTTATGTTCATTTTGTAACAATGAAAATACATCCTGCATATCAGATATTTACATTATGATTCATAACAGTAGCAAAATTAGTTATGAAGTAGCAACGAAAATAATTTTATGGTCTGGGGTCACCAGAACATGAGCTGTATGGAAGGGTCACAGCACTAGAAAGGTTGAGAACCCCTGTTCTAGAGCCCCAGACATCTCTGTTAACAGGTTCCATTGATAACTGCTGTTTACCCACTTCTACCCTTCCCTCCGGGCACCTCACTCTGTGTCTTTAGATAAATACATTCTTTCATGGATCTCTTCCATGCCGGTCAAGAACTTATCACTACATTTTCTTAACCAGTGTGCTTGTGTTCTTTAAATGGGCTTATCCCCTAGCCCTTTGTTGGTGGGGTCTGGAGAGCACACCGGGGATCTCTGAGGAGCCTGCCCCGCTGCACCCCTAGTCTGCATTTCTAGAATTCAGAAATGTGCTTCAGAAAGAAATGCATCCCAAGAAAGATGTACAGCCTGCAGACCGACCCCACAAGAATTCTGCGCCATCCTACAGAGTCACTGTGAGTCAGGACTGACTCAGCAGTGAGTGTGATTTGGGGAGTCTGAATGGCTCCGGAGGGTCTGGGTTCTCTGATTGAGCGCCCACACCTTCGCTCCCCATTGCTCATTGTACCGCCAGCGCTTTGGACAGTGAGGGGGCTGTCCCTGGGTCCCAACACTAGACTCACTGAAACAATTTCCTACTTCAAGCCCCTCTTCTACACACACACACACAAATGATGGCTCTTAGGAAGTATGTGGAAGAAAGAGGTTTTGCTCCAGCCCAAATAGCAGCTTGCAGTGACTAATAAGGTTACCTGGGGGAGGGCCTTTAGGCTCTTGTCCCAGTGAAGAGGTGAGAAGGATTTGTAAATGCTTTGGTCATTTTTAGTAACTGATTGGATCTAAAGAGCTGGAGCATATTTGAAATCAATTACTTCTCTTAAGCAGTTTGAGCCTTGCTCTGCAATGTTTAGCAAACCCTTATGTTTTAGTTGGTACAAAGATAATTTCAGCCCAAAGTAGACTTTTTAAAACTAAGGAGGTTATGCCTATTAAAACATGTTCCTTAAATACAACAAAACTTCAACATGAAAGATTCCAGAAAGAGTCGACGGAGCCTGACTGCAACTACAGGGTCAGCAGTTTGAAACCACCAGGCGCTCCTCAGGAGAAAGATGAGGCTTTCTACTCCCATGAAGAGTTACAGCGTCAGACACTCACCAGGCAGTTCTAGCCTGTCCTTCAAGGTCATTGTGAGTGGGATCTACGTTTGGCTGTGTTTATTTGGGTTTGAGCAGGAGGAGGAGCTAGGGCTTTGGTCCCACGAGACAGGGGGTGAGGGTGGGGCACAGAGTTGCTGATCTGTATTTGACAAGCTGTGGGAGAGGGAGAGACCACCCTTCATCTTTGTGACCCCACAGGCGGAACTAGGACCAGAGGTGCTAGTTACAGGGTTCAGTGAGGATTGAGTGGTCTCCTGC